GAGGAGTTTCGCGAACCTTTTTCCTTTCATTTTCCACGGTACCTTTTTCCATGGCAGAGCTTCCGTCGAACCACTCGAAATTCCGTTATCGGTAATAAATTTTTCGGGTATTTGGCCGGAATATCGAGTGTCAAGTCCGCGCTGCGACAGTCGATATCGAGGCGCGGAAATTGCGTTTCGATCTACGCCTACAGACCCCCCCGTTTTTCCTCGTTTTTTTTTCACGATCGAAACTAGCGTTCGCGCGCGCACACACCTCGCTCCTCGCCCCGCCGTTAATTGCGTTCCTTTTTTGTTGCCGGACAGAGTGGATAATGCATTAAACGCGGGACAAAGGGACGAGAGATAAATGAAAAAATAGAACCGTGTTACTTGCTTCTTAGCTACGGATAGACGCTTCAAAGGGTGAAATTGGAGCGCCAGGCCTGGTCGAAAAAAAAAGTTACGCGAATTTGGGTTGCCAGCAGACCTTATTTTTTTCCTTACATTTTATTCCAACTTAATGCTCCCGATAACACGACTTCTTTTTTCTTTTTCTTTACCAACCGACGAACGGAATAGCGGTTTCTCTGAGAGCACGCTAATTTTGCGTTTTATTTGCAGTGAAATAGGTTCGCGAAGAAATTGTGGTTTCCATTAACGAAATCAGATCGAATAGACGAGCGCGGACTCAAATACTCGTTCGGTATGATTTGCATGAACACGCGTGGTCTCGATTAATTGGCAAGTCAGCTATAATGGGTAATTTGATCCGCGATGTACGCACGTTGCTCGAACAAAGTGGCCTGTATAATTATCAATTAGAGCCAGTGCTATGAAATAATGATCTTCGAATTCGATGGATCGTTCGTTCACAAAAACGACCAATTTTTGAACCATATTCGTACAGTATATGATAGGACATAGAAGTAAAAGAAAGGACCTAGGATAAGGAGAATTGTAAAGAGCGTATTATAACAGGTAAGAAGAGTACGAAGGGTAGAGGAGTAGATACAAGGTAGTAATAAGGAAATTTCATCAAACATAGAAATAACTTGGTGCATTTTTTCACAAAGACTTGACAATTTCATCGACTCTGAACCGCCATACTTTTTCAGAGAAGGAACTCGTCAGTTGGAAAAACGGTCATTCAGAATAAGAGAGATAATTTTGAACATTAAAATTGTGTTTGGTTTTTTTGTAAATAAATATTGAAGTTTGTAAGAAAATGTATGGAATTGATTTTTATAAAATAAATATAGTAGGAATATGTGTGTAAATGTTATGAGAAATTGAAATGAATTCGAAAGTTTAGAATCACCTGCTAATTTTCATCAATGCCGAATCTGCTAGTAATTCTTCATAGATTTGAAATTGATGTCGTAGAAATTGTCAACATTTTTCTGGAAATTCTTTTACGTAACTTGCAATGCACAGTGATCCCAAACTTTTGACCGCTAGTGTACCTACATAGATAAGCTCCATCTTACATTATGCAATATTACACGATTGCCTACTTTTAAACGCTCAACAATTATTCTTCAACTTGTACTCAACTTGAACGAATTTTACGACAATGTTGCAGGTGTTGGGCACAACATAGAGTCAGGAAAAGACTTCACGGTCGACGGTCTCTCTGGTTTCAGCAAAAAGAAGAAGAAGAAGCGCCGTCATAGGTGAGTGTCTCATCCAAACCTCAAACGTGAACCGTCTTTCCCGTTGCATCGAACTTTTTCACCGTTCATTTCCCGCTGCAAAGATTCCATTGGAGCGTGACGTGAAATCAGCGCAATAGAAACATGCGTGAATAATTAATAATCACTGGGAAAATTTTCGACGCAACGGGGATAGCTATTCTTCTGCGTTTCTCGCTTGATTATAGGTACATCCTGGCTGGCGAAACAATCGTCCGTATTTCGATGATTTTTCCTCTCTTTTCCACACGCGATAATGATAAATTTATTCCCCTACGAATATATCATTTTAGACTTTTCATTGTGTAATCGCCGCGATCCCCACCCCCGCGATAATGAGTTTTCAGTTATTTTGAAGTGACAGACAACCCGAATGCAATCACCGCGTTTTCCCCAATAATTGCACGTCGGATGGACGAATTCAGGCTCAAATCGCTCGTTAAAAAATGTAATTATCAGCGGAAATCAATTCCATTGAAATTCTCTGGTTACATCACGGACGTAAGATGTATCCAACGTGTGTATTTACGTATTGACAACGTGAAAGATTAAAAATTGACGTTGCGAAAACCAGGTTCGAAGCATGTGAATGAAACATTATTACACACACACGTAGGCACACACACGCTAGTAGATCGAACATGGACAAATTAAAATTTCTCACTTGCTCGAAATGTTTCATTGTAAAATCTGTGAAATCCGTTTTATAAATTCTACGCAGATGGTGGATGGAGAGAACAGAATTTAATTTTCCCCTCTCGACTAAATTGCTTCTTCCTTTTCCACCATTGTTCCGAATCGATGAAATTTTTCGTCGGTGTAAAAACACTTCTCGGATTCGTGACCCTATCGGGAACGTGTAGATTGATCTCGTGTGTACGCTAGCATTAAGGGAAAAGCTGTAATGGCATATAACTAGGTTCATATGGTTGTTGCTCCAGGACGATCTTCACGTCACAGCAGCTGGAGGAGCTGGAGGCAGCGTTCAAGGAAGCCCATTATCCTGACGTGTATGCTCGCGAGATGCTCAGCCTTCGAACCGATCTGCCCGAGGACAGGATACAGGTGAGCAGAAAATCAAAAGACCTATGAAATCCGACCTTCTGACCCACGGAATCGAACCGCCTCGATAACTCGACGCCACACCGCTTCCTTGTGAAATTCGCGACTCAGCCGTATCGAGTTTCCCTCGCTTAGATGACCGTGAACTCGTGTTCAAAATCGATCGAACGTACACTTTTTCCTTCTTAATCACCGACTCACTTGTCTGTCAATTCTTTCTTCCTCTTGTCCGATGAAAACGATCGAATTAACTCCCCGAAAATATATCGCAACGTTGCACAGTGTGCAAAATAAGGGGTTGAAAAATGGAGCGGGAAAGGCTCCGCGGTGATTGCGAGGTCTGGTGGATTTATGGAATTAATTTATGGAAAAATGAGAATCGTAACGTGTAAAGCAGGAGGAAAAGTAGAAGTGTATAGAGTTGGTACGATTAAATGGGTCCATTTTCAGCTGTGAATCGTGTGAATTACGACGTGTAAATTGAAAGTGGCCGCTTTCAACATGGGAGAGCTGTATGTTTCTCGTGCGCGTCGTTTTCATACTCCGCCTATTTAAATTAACATACAATGCGATTTATTTCCATTGTTACACACGTGGTTTTGCAATTTGCACAGTTATAGAAAAATCTGCTAGGTATTTTACCACCACCGTGCTGATATACACGTGTATAGTAGCTCTCGTTTCTTGAATAGTTCGGCGCACCGTTTGTCCGGTGGAAAGTTTCGAGTATAATTCGCTATTAAAACCGCACAATCCGCTTTCGGCGGTAATTTTGTTCGTTAACGGGAATTAATAACGTTACACGCTCTTTGAAAATTCAACGTGTTTCCACGGGGGCGAGAGGACGATCGTACGGTATAATCAGCGAAAATATAAAGCTCCAATACGTTTTCACGCAATTACAAGCGCGTGCCGTTCTGTCGTTGAAAATTCTGTCGGACTCGGGGATTTCGCGTGCGTCTGTCAAAGAGAACCGTTATCAATTAGCGAGCGGATGATATTAGTTACATTTGTATAAATTACCAAGCAATTAATTCGGTAAATTCACCCATTATCCGTATAATAGTATAATGACATAACGAAACTGGCTATTTCCAATGTTCTAATGGACTCGCTCGATATGTTCGCGAATTAGCAACGTTTTAACTGAAAATGTTGCTCAAAAAATTGCCTCTCGATCATTATGCAAATGTGAAAACCTTTCTTTAACCCTTTCGCGACCACCGGAACATCTCCGTTTGAGCGCTCGAATAAAAATGGATTTTAATTACAGACGCGACGATCCATGGATAAATAATAAATTCTTGTGAAAGAGTTAATTAAAATAATTTTCATACGATTAACTAGTTTTATTATTTCAAGTTTATAAAAATCATCAGTCTTCGACGTGGAACGGTAATTCGGTCACGAAAGGGTTAACACAGTGACTATTGACCGATAATTCTGATTAAAGGGAATTATCAATTTTTTTAATAGAAAGAAGTGCTTAAAATTTCCGAACTACCTAATGGAGGAGTACCTAATGGCTAAAAGAAGACCTATCCTTTTTTCAACGCGACGAGTTCTTCAGCAGCCGATCGCAAATGGCAGCTCATTCGACGCGGTATCGCGCAAAATTATCGACAGCGGTGCATAAAGCGGCGAAAGAACAGTCACAAATGAAAGGGGCCGAGGGGGTGTGTGGCGGCGGTGGTTGGTTGTCGGGGGTGGAGAGAGAGAGAGAGAGAGAGAGAGAGTGGCAGGACCAAAAGGCACGACTATAAAAGGGAGAATTTTCCCGGGCTGACGGTTAGTTACCGCGGACCCGTGGAGTACACCGACTAGGCTGAGATAGGTTTCCGCATGGCGGACCCGGGACAAGCTTCCCTCTCTCTTCCACATCGCGATTCACCCCTTCGTCCTCACCCCTTTGCACCTTTTCTCTACTCGGTCTCACTCTCTGATTTTGGTCCTTCGCGGCACGGTCTTTTTCCAGGAACCCGCGTAACCTGTAATCCACGTACCTATTTAGAAGTCGCTGCGAAAACGTAGCAATATTGAGATGACGTCAAGGTAGTAGAATGACCATGGTAGATATACACGTGGCTGTATGTACATACACGCATTTACGTGCTCATTCTTGTCTGTGTGCGTGTGTGTGTCTATGCAAATGACCAGTACACAGCACTCGGAGGAGTATGCTGATTATATTTTGATATAATTCGAGGGACGATGGTGGCGAAGGTTAGAGGACGAGGAGGAGGGTGGCAATGGTCCACGAAGCAAAGGTGGCAAAAAGGAGCTCTGTTGGAAGAGGTGACACGACACCGGGGGTGAGAGCGATGAAGACGCGTCGGTTAGGACGCTGGTGTAGTGGGAGAGAGAAAGAGAAGTGTACCGGGGTGAAAGAGAAGGAGAGGCGTATAGAGCATGTAGGGTGGAAAAAGAGGTGGCGAGAGAGGAAGAGGTAGGGTAGGTAGGTACGGTCGAGTCGCGCTTCACGGGGTTGTTGAAGCTTCGTGGCTGAAGCGTGCAGGCGCGTACACAGAGAGAGAGAGAGAGAGAGAGAGGGAGAGAGAGCGAGAGAGCGAGAGAGCGAGAGAGAGGGAGTGAGTGGTAGCGGCGGCGTGAAACGACAAAGCGGCCATTGCAGGATGGGTGCGGTCCCGCGGGCCAATCAGAGAGACGAGTCGCGGAGCGGTCGGCCAATCAGGCCGCGCCTTCCACCCGTCTTTTGTTTCTAAATTTGTGCGCGCGGCGGGGACACAATATAACGAGCGCGGGACGAAAAGAGGGGTTGGTAATCGTTAACGGTGATATTTTTGTGTGGGAGTGCCGGCTTTCTTCCTCTTTTCTCTACCTCTTCTTTCACTCGAACCCTTCCCTCCCACCTTCCTCGCCCCCTCGTCGACATCCCCGCCACTCCCCTCTACCTCTCGTCGTTCGCGTTCTACGCCTCTCTCCTACTCTCTCGCCACCCTCTCTCTGTTCTCTTCCTCTCTTCTCTTCCGCCGCGTCTCGTCTCTCTGTCAGATTCGTTGCCGCGCGAATCTCCTTCCGCTTCTCGATCTAGCGCGCGCTCGCGTCTCACCGTCGAGTTTCTTTCGTCCCTTGCTCTGTTCCTGCCTGTGTCCGACCCCCTATTTCTTTTCCTAATTTCTTTGTAGCCTCTCTCTCACGGGCCCTTTGTCCCGCGCGGTTTTTTGTTTCTCCCGCGCCGCTGCTCCTCACGCCGACGTGTGTCGCGACCGAACTGGAAGAAGAGCGCCGCGCCGGCCAGTTTTCATATCGATTAGGGGCATTTTGCATGCCGCTTGATGCGCTTCGCGAGACCATACTCTCTCGTCGAACGAGTAATCGCCTCCGCTGGAATTCTGTAGACTCGTGGAAAATATTCGAATATCGAGAACTAACGAGATCCTTTGACAAAGAATTCAACGTTGCGAAATTATCCTTCCGAAAATGGATCTGAGAAACGTTTAATTTGCTAAGAGAACATTTGTTAGATCGAACAATTGTTACGTAGGATAATTTGTCGCAGCTTTTCTAACGTCGAACTTTTACAGGTCGTTGCCCTTGCTTCTTTCACTCCAATTCTAGAACTCTTTCATGCATGCCAGATTCGCGATATTTGTACGGGTTTTGTCTCCACGGTCGATCCAATAAGATCGCGATTGGATTGGTTGCGGAAAATCTGACAATCAAAAGCGAACCATTCTCTCTCTCTCTCTCTGACGTACACTACAGTTGTACTTTGTCTAAAGTAATTCTATACCTTGAAATTATCGAAAGTTTCACCTACAATCGTGGAACTTGAGGATAAAATACCGAACCGTAACGAACCGTTAACGTCGAAGCGAGAAAGACGACCGGATGGGGCTGCTTCCGGCATCAAACGAAATTATCGTGTCCAGTGGGCGATTTGACTATGCGCCGTCTGTCAGGTTTCGCGCGCTGAAGTGTTATTACTTAATTAAATGAATGGGTTCGGTTAGGCCGAGGCGGCCTGAACAAATTAATTAGTTATGCTCATTGAATACTCTGTACAAGCCCTGCCAACATAGAAATACCTACTCGTTTCATCGGGAAGACTACCTACTACCTATATCATACGCATTTTGAACTTGCGCTGCTATCTCATTCCATCAGAAGAAGATAGAGGAAACGTCGCGTTCGTCGTTTCTTTGACGAGAGAGGCACGCTGCTTGATATTTGGTATTGAGAAGCTTTCTCATTTCGAAGGGGACAAAGGGATACAAGAAGAAAGGAAAACGTCTTCTTTGAGGAATGAAAAACGCTAGAAGCATTTCTTCGTCTTCTCCTGGTGACAAAATGAGAAACATCCTTTCAACACTTTCTCCATGGTATTCAGACCCTGAGAATAATACTTGGTTCTCTAAAATACACGTAAATTTTAATACGTACGCACAATATATATATGTATCTACGAATCTTTGAAATCTGCAATCTTGACAAAATATTTGAGCATTCAGTGGCTGATCGTAATAATTATCGGTATTGTAGAAGAGAGTTTTCGTAGAACGTTTTGCATACACGACGGTGACAACCCGAAGAAAGAAAGCTCCCGCGGTGAAGTTAATCGAAATGTCTTCGGCAGACCTCCCTTCCAACTACTCCAACGTATTGTGCATACGATTCACACGTGCCGCGATGTAATTACGCGACACCGCAACCAATTTTATTCCGGGATCCTGACGAAGTTTCGCCTGTTAGAATTGTCAAGCCTTAAGTGCATCCCTTTTGGTGAAAAAGAGAGAGAGAGTGAGAAAGGGGAACTTCCGTAGCTTCATGGAAATTAACATGCAAACGTCCGCCTTTTCACTGTCCTTAAAGAGCCATTCAGAGACCCTGAAGCATACCACTGAAATATTCTTCCATTTTTAACGAATTATTCTTCCAAATTACGAATTAATAACGTACGGTGAACAATTTTATTCGTATAATTAGAATATTTTGATAAAAAAAAAAAAAAGAAGAGAACTTCTTTGACATTACAGCGTAAA